AGATGGCAAAATCCCTAGCAGTCCTTGCTATTGTCAGGATGTTTATGGGCACCCTAAGTACGGTGTCATGCGCCTCATGCAGGGTTACAAATGCTGTCTATTACATTAACTAATGGAGCTCAAAATAGCAAGAATGTAAATCCTTCATAATGGCCTTGAGAAATGCAAGGAGACACTAATTAACATGTGGATATCACATAATTTGAGATCCATAGAGATATGATGCCAGGGTCATGCATACAAAATATTTGGGTAGAGTTGACCTTAAAATTCACAAGGTATGCATGGCAAAGCAACAGATTCACTTAAAGACCTACAGGGCTATTCACAAAAGAGTTTGGGGAAGACAGGAGAAGTGAACAATCTCGGACAACATAGCTGAACTGGAAAGTGAGCTGAATTGGAGAATTTTACCAAATCCGCTATTTTGGCCTAGATTGTTCACTTCTCCTGCCTTCCTCAAACTCTTCAGCCTTTTGTGAATAGCAATGAAAGTGAAATTTAATTTTAAATACTGTAAGCTAAATGCATTCCAGGTGAATCAAACAAAATCATGAGTAGAAAAGTCTGTCCCCTGCAGAGCTAGATTTTTGCTGTGTGGAATCAGTGATCTTTGTGCAGAGGTCCAACATCCCCCCTGTCGAGTAACACATAAAGCTCCATAATCAGCAAAGTTCATAGCCTATGCTGATTGGTGAGCTCCAGCTGTGACTTACAGGGGCTGTGTCAGACCTCTGCAGAGAGACCACTGCATCTCCACAGAGAGCAAGAGTCCTTCTCTGCAGCATATTGACAGACTTTTCTATTCAAGCTGTGGTGTGCGTGCCCGCTAGGGGGCGCGCGCGAGCAGAAAAAAATTGCCGTCTGGAGACGGCAACCCGCAGATGCTGCAGTGCCGTCCGTCCGTTTTTTTACTACGGGCGGACGGCAAGAGGTTAAGGAAAGCAAACTGTAAGACTTTACATGCTGTTTGTTTTGATGCACCTGAAATGTATTTAGATTTAAACTGGAAGGTTATTTGGACTTTAACTGTCGCCCTCTTCTGATTCGCATACCTAACTTGTTTCACATCGCCACCACATACACGCAGATTAGTGTTATATGGCATCAGCAGGAACAACCTACTAAACAGTAGAGCAGAACATTAAAGGAGAATTATGACATAAGGGCAAATAAAAATAGACCTTACCTTGATTGTAGTAGCATCGTTCCTTTTTTTCTAAAGTCGCAGCACATCAAAGATAAAACCCTCAAAACCTGTAGTAAACGCCGTCTTCAGCCCTGCTCCGAGCTCCTTTCCTCTTAGGGGGCGTTAACAGCTGATCCAGCCCGCCCACAGCTTTTTGTTCAAATGATCTCATTGCTGTGGCCGCGCTTCCTCTCATCGTGCACAGCTCTGTTTTGTCAGCGTGTGCACGCTGGCATTTGTGAGCGGGAGGCGGAGTCTGAAGTGAGAAGGCAGCAGCAAGTAAATGGACTCAGCCTCCCTGCACATTCAGTGCTCTTTGCCCTCTCTCATCAGCGATCCCCAGTAATTAGGATGTCAGCATAACATAGGGGCAGAGAGAGAGGGGATAAAGAGCCATCCCTCTCTCCATTATTTACTAGAAATGGGCAAGTCCATATATGGTGAATTATGTCACTGGCTATCCCTGCAGACTGGCAAGCATCCGATCAGCAGGGATCCCCAGTGACATCATTCATCATATATGGACTTGCCCATATGTGGTAAATGATTAAGAGAGAGAGAAGGCTCCTTCTCCCCCCTCTCTCTCTCTGCCCTGTGTGACGCTGACATCCTCAAATCACTGGGGATCGCTGATGAGAGAGGGGAAAGAGGGCTTTCTCTTCAGCATTTACCTAGCAGCAGCACACTGGTAAACATCCGATCAGCAGGGATCCCCAGTGACATCATTCGCCATATATGGACTTGCCCATACGTGATAAATGATGGAGAAAAAGGGCTTCCTTCTCTCTCTCTCTCTCTCTCTCTCTCTCTCTCTCTCTCTCTCTCTCTCTCTCTCCCTGCGTGACACTGACATACATAAATGACTGTGGATCGCTGATGACAGAGGGGAAAGACGGGGACGTGCAGGTAAGGAGAGAGCTGCGTGCACAGAGGTGCTGCACATGTCCATATATTTGTGGACGCGCAGCAGCTCTCAAGAATCACTGTCAGTCACAGTGAGGAAGATCAGTGGGGAGGATCCCGTCAGATAGGTCGGGATGTCTCCTCATTGGGGCGCTTATCCCCGCCCACCACCTTAAATAAGGGTTTACAGCCTTATTTTGGCTAATTAGAGTAAATTACATAATTTACTTATTTAGCCCAAGGAATGCATTAATAAAGAAAAGATAGAACCCCATAGTTCTCCTTTAAGTAGTCAGGAAGCCAGGCAGCCTCTGAAGCCAGTGTTCTTTCGGTAGAACACGGGCTTCGGGGGCAATCAGGAAGCTGGGACTTCCTGATTATCGAGGCGCAAGGCACCGGTACTCGGTATCGGCGAGTACCTAAAAGAAAAATAATGGTACTTGCAATCATTACCGAAAAAACTGTATCAGTGCTCCCCTAGTTTTGGATAAAGTGGAGGATGGTTAAACCCCCATCAGCTTTTCGTTTTATGGGTTCTATTGAAGAGACTCCCTTCACCCTCTGGCCTAAAGACAGAACAGAAAGTGAAAGGAAAATCTTTCCAAAGTGAGGGGAATTCCCCTCTTAGTTTAGCCTTTTACTGGTAGATCTTTGTAGGAATGTTCATACAAAAAAATCTCAAGAGAACATTTGATAACTTTGTTTGATTTTAACATTTTAGGCATTTTTTTAAGCCTTATGGTTTCCTCAGAAAAGGATGGTAATTCACCTCTGTCCAGGCCTGCTCCACCTCCCACCCCATGCTTCCACACCTGCGACTCCTGCTGTGATAGTAGGGTGAATCTGATGTGAAGGGGGGATCTGATATGAAGGTTGGCTCCTCATAGAAATGTGGTGTTTTTGCGTGTAGTCCCCTCCTTAAAATCCACTACATTTTAGACTAGGGTGCCTCAAGATTTTGCATACTTTTAAAGGGTGCCGTGACTGAAAAAAAGTTAAGAAATGCCGGAAAATAATTTTTTGAACAAAAGCCACATTCACTTTTAGAATTTAGTTTATTTGCCAAAATTCTTTCTCATTACTACAGTCGCAATAAATCGTCAATTTGACCCCATTGACTATTAAAACATTTAAAGGAATGTTCCGAATACACATTTTTTTAAAACAAAATTCTACTATTATATGGTCAGTTTAAACAGTTGCCACAGAAACAAGTGTATCCATTGAAGCATTTCCCTCATTGGGTACACATGTTCCAGTGACAGTTGTAAAATTTTCGATTTCCCATATCTTTCTGGGAGAGGGTAAATGTAACCAGCCGGGATCCAGAGAGCAGTAAAAACCTGAAAAAGGTTTTTTTTTTTTTTTTCTAGTGATACATGTTAATAAGAGTTTACAGGAAGCCTATAAATACCAAAGTTACTGGCACCAGTTGACTCACTCACATATAAATTTCAACAAACCACCAAAGTAGCCACAAGGCCTAAAATTAGGTGTATTTAATCTTCCTCAAGAACTTTCTATGGGTAACAAAACCCAAGTGACACAGCATGTTAGAGATGGCTCCTCTTAGTAACCCAGCTTTCCACTCATCTTGTAATCAAAATGCCAATGTTTTGGCAGAACCAAAAGGGGTGCTTGGAGCTTAGATGGGAACTAAACTGCAGTCTCTGTAATATGTCTAGAGCAGTACAAATCCCAGGCGCCAGCGAGCCAATGCTCTCTAAAAATTACATCTGGCATTTGCGGTTTCCTTTAGTTGTTGTCAATGAAGTAGCCACTGTAATACCCTGAACTATCTCATAATGGATAGTATGCAACAGGAGTCAAATGGAAAGTACCTCCTTCACTTCCAGCTCATATGATGTAAATATGAAATGGAAAAGGTGTTCTGTACGTCGTTGCACTGGTCAAGCAGGCAGGTTGCCTGACACCACTTGTGTATGAAAAACCTGGTTAAGGCAACATGAAGAATGCCTCCCACTTCTCACCTGCCCTAGCAGTATGCTGTGTCCAAATCTGCATGACAAGGGGAAGAAATTTCCAGCACCCGCTGTAACCATATTTAATACAAATGAGCCCCTAGGTTCCAGAGGGCTTTTATACAGCTTTACAAGCTCCAAGAATCTTCTAACTCTTGCTTCAGGCACAGTACCTGGTGCTAAGCCCTATTTCTGCATATGTGATCATTCTTGGACCTCTGGACAGTTGAAAATAGAGCCATGGTACACATCCACCATTGTTTTTTCAGTGTCTAGAGACCTGGTGCCCAACCTGCAGCCTGAAGGCCACCTGTGGCCCTTTGGTACATGCTTTACGGCCCTTTGCAGACCCCAGCATTTGGTAGCAAAAGCATTCATGTGTAAAGAGGCTTTAATGGCTGTGATCTCCAGCAGTCTCAAGCACCAAGTCACTGACTATCTTCTGTAGTGTGTCTTCATTCTTCAACCACCCATGTGGCATGTCAGCAGTCTGTGATTGTCTCCTCTAGTATGTCTAAAGTCTTTATATATACTGAATACCATGTGCACCCCTTTAGAGCTGTCAGGGGCCACAGTTGAGGCTCCTTATAACTTATAAGTTGAAAACCATTCGTTTAGAGGAACAGTAGGCAAATGGGAGCCCAATGCCACCCCTAATAGATACACCCAGAGACAAGACCCTCTCCATCAATCAGTATTGTTGATACAATTCTGTGAGAACTGAAATCTATCATGCACAAGAATGAAGGAAGTAGGGAGGCCTCTGATTAATATGTGTAATTATATTGACTTATGATGACCTGATAAATAATGACTCTTACCTCAGGGCTTCAGGAAAATTACCTGAGACCGGGGTTCAGTCCAAACCTGAGCTTATCCCTAATTGCAAAGTATCTTTTTATAGATGAACAAAGCATTGTACTCACCACTGTCTTCCACAGTAAAATGAAAGATATCACTAGTGGCGTTTTCTTTGTCTCGTAAAACGTAGCAGATTTTCATATCATCGATGTCCGCTGCAATCATAAAAAAAGAAAATGGCTTAGTTCAGAACTGAACTCATAAGGACATAGATAAGTAACTCAGAGCACGTGCTGCAATCATAAAAAAAGCAAATGACTTAGTTCCGTACTGAACTCATAAGGACAGAGCATGAGCAACTCAGACCTCATGTTTGACACACAAAAATAAAAAAATAAGCAAATGTGACATAACAAAATTATTGTCTTTAACTGATATTAGACAAAGTTTAATATTTCAACTCCTTTACCCAAGAAGTACTCCAGTTCAAGTCATGAGAATGGATCTCTGAAGTAAAGCTGGTCCTTCATTATTAGATATGCACATGAGCCAAAATACCTTGTTGGTGGGCCAGGGCGGCTGACTGGAGAACAAGGTAACAAGTTATTTGCTAGTTGCTAGGACTCCCCAGCACCATAACAACCAACCAAGCATGTTTTGCCTCCCTGCCCTTCCCAGCATTCAACCCACAGTCATTATTCAACTCCCTCTCTGCTGGTGATTGGTTGCTAGGATGCTAGGCGGTCCTAGGAACTAACTGGTAGCACTGGGGATTGAATAATGACAGTGGCAGTCTGCTGTTTCCATGGATCGGTGGACTTCCGCTGACCCATGGAGTGACCCCCCCCCCCCCCTCAAGGGCCCCTCAATGCAACCATGTGC